TGCTGACCTTGTTGAGATAATTTCAAAGGTATTATTGATTCTACTCTCCAAAACAATGCGTTATTATTCTGACTGTAAAAAACGGTTCAGCCTATTTGAACCAGTGAGGTTTCAGAATGGTTTAGTGCTTTTTTATTATTTACTATGTATATATAATCCGGACAGTATCAAGCAATATAGAGTAACTCACCTGCAAGTGGGTTGGTTATTTATGATGAGACATTCACCACGATTGCATGTGTTAACGGGACAAGGAGAGTAGGCTGGGAGTAATGAGAAAACGAATGAAAGGTTGCACGTTCGCGAGTATTTTCATATCAATCAAAATTCATTCTGATAGTTTTATTTTGTTAGTTTTCCAACTCAATGCAACACATCGAATATTTACCACAGTCTTATTTTTCAAATGGTCAAAACTGGCCCCCTTGTGCCAAATACCACAAAGTCACCGGTATCGCGTTGAAGGAAAGCACTTTCTGTAAGTGTATCATGAAAAATTTCAACGCATATCGGATACCAGACCTAGTCGGTTCATTCTGTTAAAAGTTACTGATGTACAAATCTAACATCTCGGCTGTTTCACGCCGTGAAGCGTCATTCTAGCCCCTAATCTAATAGCTTTTAATAACGCGGAAGAACAGGGAATTTTTAGCATTCGTTAGCCTTTGCAGGTTTAGAAAAAATGACCTTGGTGTCCGCTTCACAAAAATAAATTTCTAACATTCTGCGTTCCGGAGAATACATGGAAACCTCATTTGGGACACTTCCTCTCACCCCTATCTGGTAGATCGCTCTACTACCAAAAGAACAATAACTTTTCCGAACTGAGTGACATTTTTGCACTTCAAAACAAATTTTCAACAAATGTTAGAATGAAAAAACTTATCCCACGCATTACTATGTACGCGTTTTAAGCCTGCCATCGTCAAGTTGTTGTAGTTAAAAAATGTTTTGCGGAAAGAAACACTTTCCCGAATGGAGGTCCTAGTTCGGCTGTAATGTTGAACAAGTGTTGCTCGGAATAGAGATACTTGTGGTGAAGAGTTTAACGGCGCTAGAAGCGTTCCTCACATGCGCGTTTAAGACAGGATGGGTTGTAGTATCAGTGCGAGCTCGACGAAATACCAGTTCACAATTTGAGAAAATTAATTGATTTTTTTCCTCAGGTATGATCGGTTGCTGGGGTCTGTTTTATTCTGTTGGCCAATTTGTTGTTGCCCACTTGTTTGAACAATTAATTAACATTATTTTGATAACTGGTTGACTTGCAGTCTGGAATCCATTTCAAACCCTAATGAAACCGGTTTTAAGAGTGGGCTTCAGATAGAACAATTCTGGATCAAATCTGCGAGAAATATGATGTTGAATAAACCAGTTGGGATCTATAAATGTGACCAAACAAATGCACGTTGTCAAACAGAAGATACAGTCACGTGTTCTAAGTTCCAATTTACAAGGAGGCTGAGAATAATGTTTGTGAGTAGTAACTGCTAGAAAGAAGATCCGAGAATGTAAAAATGACAGATTAAGTAAGTACAGAAAAATCCTGATCATTTTTTATTGCATTGGTGACTTAGAAATGCTCCCTTGTTAAGCGGGTTAACAACCGGTTTAAACTCATTCAAATGGGTTTCAACAAGTTTCAGAGTAAAGTCAAAGTAGTCAATCAACCGATGAAGACAGTGAGGCTCACCAAAGCAGGAAGCTGGAAAATCAAATATTGAATAGCAGATGAAATTGATCAAACCGTATGAAGAGACCCAAACAGCCAGTCACAAACTTCGAAAACAATGATATCAGCCATTATACTCTGTGTGAACTGGTGTGTTTCCCTGAGTTGGCGTAATCATTGGCTACAAATCATCTCCAAGAACAATTTTAGATCGGAAAACCCATAAACAACACAAAAATCCCATGTTTTCGAAAACGGCCTCAGCTCTACAGCTTACCTTTTTCATCTGCAGCCTTCCTTTCATCTGGTGGAGAATAAACTGGAATTGACAGAAATCAAAGTGAGGTCAGTGGTAACAAAACGTGTATTCCATTGTAGGGTATGCAGCTCCGGCAAGCACTGAATGTTGTGCTTCAGCGAATATATTAATATATGTGATAAATATTGTGTAAAGGTGTCCTCATTTTGGATAAATGTCTGAGAGATAAACAAACAATGAAGCGTTAGCCTAAATTTTATAACCCAAAACGCCGCAGAAACTACATCGCACGCACGTTAGTCATACTAGTAGTAGTAGTAGTAGCTTCAATGTGAAAAAATGGAGCCGTCGTTAGATTGTGCGGATTGAAGGCTAGTGAATGTTCACGAGAAAGAACAAATAGAATGTTGCATTTGACTCCAGTGACACGGGGATATTGTATGAAGAAAATGTTTTCGGAATAAACAAGTTCCTTACTGTTCCTTATTCACCCAATCGGTAGAAGCAAATATCTATATCTGATTATCAGGGCATGCTGATTCTGAGTAGAAAAATATAACTTCGAGAAATTAAAGGTTTGAGAAAAATCAGTTGTGGACTTATTCGGGTAGATTATACAAATATATAAACTAAGATACCGTATTCAAATGTTAAAACAGTTTCACAGAACACATGATCAGAACACAAAAGTGATAAATAAGCTCGTTTTGAGTGCACTCATCATACCAACAAAATATATGCTTAGCCAGTTACATATATAGCACTCCAGCGCCCTTGGCCGGATTGCCGATAATCGACACGTCATGCGACATTGGCACAAATGATATTTGATTCCCAACGATTTCAGGTCACTCAGACGCAAAGGACTGGATCGATTATGTTGCAAACCGTGGAGCATTTCCATTACTTTCTCCTCTTTTACAAACCCTTATATGTAACTAAACGTATACATATATATCCTGTGGTATTGGTCTGATTAAGATGTACTGACAACGAACTTGTTTGCCAATTCTGAACTCTTAGTCAACGGTTCCATGACTGATTGCACTGATCAAGTTGTAAAGAGAAATGCATTTACCGTTCACGTAAATCCACTTGCCAACATGACTTTGAGCACTTTCTCCCTTGCACGAGTAATTTCCACTGTCATTCAATTGGATATTGCGCAACCGCAATTGAGAACGTTTGCTGATGGGATTTTCCAATGGAACAAATTAAAGAAAACGGGTGATTATGTGACAGACAATCAGGTCACCAAATTGCGCATATTGATGCATTTGGAGTTTCCCTTTAAAATGTAGATGACCGCGACCATAACCTTCAAGTACTGAGTAGAATCGCTCCCGCTCGTTGCGGACAGTGAGAAAAAAGCTACTGATAGACGCAAACATTTGGTCAAATCCCCCTTCATGCTTGTCAACATCACACCAACCTGTTCATCATCCCAAGCGTGAAAATTCACAATGGATGGGTGTAGGATCAACCGGAAATTTCACAAGGCCGTGAAGGATGCCCAGGGGTCAATTTGTTCTTAGTGCCAAGACACAATCGCCGTGAACCTAAAATGTCTCATTAAACTCACAGTTACTTCTGAGTTGTGTGGGATAATTTATAGCTATTAATGTGTAGCTACCATCCTTCGAACTTCAAATTTACGCACAATTCTCAGTTCATCCACTCAACTGTATAATCGGAAGCCCTAGATTCGAGTTGAGCTTTTGTTAGAGCTCCTCATTAGTGCATGTCGACCGGCCCGTCTGAAATTTGAACTACGTATCCATCGCATTGAATGTGTGTGCGTTACCACAGTGCCAACTAGCTCATACCATGGCTTAAACAATTTGCCAATTCATGTTTGTTCAGGTGTTATCATCAGTTCACTTGACCCGACAGCAATTAAGGGAGACACAACAATTTGTTTACTCCAATCGAAAGCCTCCCACTAAGCTTTAGTACGAGCGCAACTGGAGTTTGCTGCTTTCGAGTGTATGGTTGAATCGATTAACTGAGGATTGTGCATGAAGATGAAGTCCGAAGGATAGTCACTTCAAATCAGTAAATGAACCTAAAAATTCACAAAACGCGAACAACGCTCAGTAAGGATGACGCAACATGTGACAACCGGACGCATCGGATCAAATTTGGTCCCGTGTTCTGACCTTTTGTGACCGGCGTTCTTGTTAGTTTTGCTTGCGTTCTTCGGTCATTTCACATCATCAGATTTTCCAACCACGTCAAATAAAAGCATTCTAAAGTGCACATCCCTCAGATTAAATTCGTTTCCTTAGAGTATCCTCAGCAAATCTGTGATTTCACGTCAAAGTTCTACCATCACTCAAGCGAGAAAGAGAGAGAGGAACTTAGCTTCATATTGTGCTACTGTGCAATAAAGATGATTACAAGCGACCAGGAATTACGCGAGTGATCGGATGAAGTAAATAAGACGACTCAATTCCACAAGATCTCTTTTTGTGCTTATAAACGAATTCAACTGCGGACAATTGTTTCCGATGTCGTATACGTTAATTTTGGGCCTCCAAAAAGCAACATGTAAATATATTTTGACAATAAATAATTGAAATCATTATGAGCCAAATGATCACAAAATGGAAGTTCGCAGATTAACCAAAGAAAGGAATCTTTGATAAAATGATGTCCAAGTCACCGGTGCTATTCAGAGAATTCTGCTCAGCATAATCTATGCATTATGAAATCGACGTTCAACGTTCCAATGAACGTTATAAATGTATAATGTTGCGTGAGTTTTGGCCATTTACCGCTAAATTTATTGATCAAGCGGCAATGTAACCAAGGTGAAAAGCCTAATAAGACATTAAAAACCAAGTGAAATTATTTTGCTTGTTGATTTCCACCCGAGCTATTTGCATCAGCAATGAATGAAATAATATACGCCAGGAATAGTAAATTTATTTCCGAATACAGTTCCATTATCCACATAAAAATTGCCAAAGTAAGAATACTGTACACTTTAAATGCGGCTCGATTCAAAATGTCTGACATCGAATTGCGACTTGCCTTACTAGTCTGATAATAAAAGTACAGCTCCGTAAATTTCTGTAATTTTCCCGAAATTTCTTATAGTTTTGAATAAATTAAAGATTCTGTCACGCTGGAAACTATGACGGGTCAGTTGATTACACAGAAGTGAAGGTTTTCCTTAATCATCCGATCAATAGTGTAGAGAGCGATTTACAAAGTTTCAATTTATTCAGAGACTAGTTTAAGTTTCAGTGCGTTTCCTTCAATGGCTATACATAATTTGCACTATCTGCTTCGATTGACGCATTCTATGTAACTGAATGTCAAATCTGTCAGCTGTCTACTCTGAAGGTTGATTCAAAGTTCCTGTTAATTGAGCACTTGAAATGCTAGCGAAAATCAAGCGGTGGGACGGGTAAAGTCGGATGAAATGATTTTTGTTATTGTTTTAATATTCGCTGTATATTTACGATTCCAAATCGACCTAAACAAGCATGACAGTTATGTGAATGAATTCTTCCCGGACAATATGCGATATTAGATTTGAGGAAATCGCTTAAATCTACGTATGCAAGGAGTAGACCTTCATGGAAGCTCATTAGTCAACGTTTGATCACTCGAAATGAAACAAACTTGTAAAATCTTCTGGTTTTTGTGCTTTATTCTATCAACTATTTTGCCTGTTTTTCAATAAAATATAATAGACTCAAATCTGGTATTGCACTTACAACGATTTTATGATTTCCACTCGATTGTTCTGAGTAGAATCAATTGGCAGACCATCTTTGAACCATCGAATGATAGGATCTGTCTCACCCTCCACTCGACATTTCAAGCTCAAGACCGCGCCTTGTTGTATTTCCATTTTCGATTCGGCATACAGCTGCAGGGGACGGAATAAGGTGAGTGAAACTAGTCATGGCAGCGAGAACTGGAGTAGGTGCATGGTGGACGTTCTCCCTGGCCCTCTGCTTCCCCGCATTCTCGTACGCAAAACGGAATTAAACAATATTGTACTGCTTGAATTACACCGGGTTATGTTGACAAAACATCCACTGGTTCAAAAACCAACATTGCTACAAAAACAAAAATGTGGTCGTGTAATCGCATATTTTGTCCAATGCCAAGGAATATGCCTACGGAACAAGCTCGGTAATTCACAGACCAGATGACAATTGAACTATTTCAGTAGAAAATTTTTATCAGCTGATCCTGGAGGCTCTCAATGACCGTGTTTTATGTAGTCACGATGCGATACAATAACGTAGAATTAAATTAGAATCAATCAAACGTGACCTCTTGTCCTCCGTAAACAAAATGTAACTATAACTTATTGACACTCGGAACAATGAACATAGATTCAAAAAATGTTGCGACTCTCCTGGTGCTACATTGAAGTTTCAAAAGCATACGAAAAGTAAAACAATTCAGGGATGGATGGACTGATGGCAATCAAATAGCGATAAATGTTACAGTTACATACTGCACGATAAATGGGACGGAAATTATCATAGTTTGCGGGTTTCGGGTCATTTTATTTTACCAGTCTCGTTAGAATTTCCACATCAGTTGTGAAAGACCAGCATTTGGCCTAAGTACTTTGTAATTTACCGTGCTCTGAGGTAAACGAGCACGGTCATTTTGCGTATACATGGTTTTGCTTGTGTACCGAGCCAACTGGCAGTGACTGATTAGCATAATAGAAGAGCGACGGGAGGAGCGGGGGCCAGTGATTAGTACTATTCTGTCGCGGCGAGAAACGCGAAACACATTCACACGGAACCCAGAGCCTTGTTTCGGAATTTGCGATGAATGCATGATTTCCTCTCTTAGTCAAATGTAATAAGCTAATGGAATTTTCCGTAAAACCGACCAAGCCACTATCCGAAAGGTAGTCAGTTGTCTACACAAAAATAATCTCAGGATATAAATTGAATGCTTTTTAATTTTAATGATAAATTATTTTAGTAATGATGATTTTGATATTCAGACTAAGAACTATGCATTTCAGATGCTCAAAAAGCCCTTTCACTTGGTTGTTTACGAATGTCCAAATGCAAAAATATATGTTAAATTTAACATGTGAGCAATTAAAATTGACTATGAATCGTTTTTTTTCTTGTTTATTGTTAGCATACTGTCTGTTTTCTTGGAAAGCACCTGAAGAAGCAACGTGCAGGGATGAGAAATACATCGGAAACTGTCGACATTATGTCTTGCGAAATGGTTACGCAATAAATTGCTACTTGTTGTGTGAGTTCAACACCTGTGTCGAGTATACCAATCCTGGCTATGTTTAGCATCTGAACCTCATAAGATGTATCCAGAAATTTATGCAGTGAGAGGGATAAAACTGCTGCCTACTTAATATCAAACGATTTCTAATTGTTGTAAATTGGTTCAGCAATGATTTCGGGGTCGACCGAAAGCTGAGAATCAGCTGAAAAACACCTCTTTTTCACTAGTTCTGGCTAGCAAATGAGTATTTTCATTGATCGAAAGGTCATGTGATCAAACTTGAACTAACCCTGGGCTCCGACATGGGGGAGGTGGGATTGATGTAGAAAAATATTCCAACAAATAATTGATCCTTTAGCATAATTATACCAATGTTGGTCGTACGCACTAAAACCTCACCTACTGAATATTAGTTATTCATGTGCATTTTATTGACGCAAAATGTTTGCGCGTCAATCGCTTCGAAACGGGGATTCCACATATTCCGTTCAGTGATCAGGAGGGGAAGACAAGTTGTAAAAATCAGTGCAAATATGAATTCCAGGGTAAATAATCCATGCCTACCATTTTATTTAACTGACGTGTTTGCAGCCGAACATTCTCATTTGTTTCTTACATTCGATCTTACAACTCACAATTGCAATTATCAACAAAACATCTCTTTGTGCACATAGCCCAGTGGGTAGTGATGTAATTGAAAACAAACTTCTCTTGCTAGACGATTCATTCACGAAATACCAAAGCTTCATGTAATATCAAGCATGAGCATTTTTCAGCTTTGAAGACAAACGGCATAAATTATCTGTCTCTTAGACAATTTCCACTTATCATGTATAAAGTCCGTCACTTAACGATTCATGGCATTGATCGGATTGACGAACAAATGCAGCGACAAGGGCTACCCTAATTCGCTGAGTGGCTTTCCTTATGTTAAAGTTAGCTCGTTTTATGAGAGCACATGTAATGTGTCGGATACATGTTAAACCCAATTTCACGTTTCACAATCGACCATTTACACCATAAATAGCATCATATAGTGTGCTTCAATTTGGATTTCAACGTACAAGTAATCCTAACCAGTATAGATAGCGAATTGAATGCATTCACGAAGTGGTAAATTCATACAGTTTGTAGAAGCTAAGTGGACAAACCACGGTAATACGTGAAGACGTTCAGGAGAGATTGTAACGGTTAAGTTTACAGACAGGTATTAGTGTAGATCTTTGCGTTCGCAAGTTTACAGGAGAAAGAAAGTTATGTAACGAATAATAAAAGGTTTTTTATCTATCCAAATAACAGAGTTGTGTTATTTATTACTGTTTAAATGTGCTAAAGAACACCCTGTTTGATGATCAAAGTTAAAAAGGTAAAAAGTATTTTTTACCGATGATGAAAGATATCTACGAACTTCCTATTACTACACGATGAACATTGGTTTTGAAAAGGCGCCTAATGTGACAGTTGAACTCTAGTATGCTTAGCTTTCTCGGATCTTAAATGGCCACACCGGCAAAAGGTCGTCTGGTAACGGGCGTTGACAAATAGATTGCAATATCATAAAATACAATTTATTTTAGCGCTATTCTAACAACTGAAGAATATCACAAAAGCGGGACAATAAATGTTTTGTGTAAATTTAGCCGACTGAAGATGTACTAGACTGCTATCTTTTGGCAAATATATGGACTCAGGTTGAGGAATAGTCACCTTATATGGCGTGCTACGTAAATAGGAAAGAAAGTAACTGACCTGTTCTACGAAATGAAAGCGTTCGGTACTGTTTTGTAAGAAATACATATATCATTGCTACACAATAGCTATACAGTGGATTACATTTGTATTTCATCAACAAATAAATTCAATGTGCGGGTTGTGTTGCTTTTATCGGTAATAATAATAACACCAGCAGACTGTTAAAATCCATCACTGGGACATAATCATAAACATAAATTGCATGCAGCAGCTAAAAAAACTGCCATGGCTCGCAAAGCTCAAGGAAACAAGACTTCCCCCAAAGTACGGACATAAAACGTGAATTCTTGAGCCGTCCTCCAGTGTGTACCGTTTTACGAAAACTGTAGGCAGAAAATTAATTTTCGCTCATCAAAATATGGTCTAACATCAATCAATTCAAGTTTGTATTTTGCTGATCTCGAGTGAAGATAAACCTGTAATTCACGGTTCGCGAGGTGATTCATCAATTAATTGAATTGAGGAAACAATTCTGTAGAGTATTCTGTCAAGGAGGAAATTACTTTTACGGTAATGTTTTCAAAATACAGAATTTTTTTTGAAAAACGTTGCAATTTCTCTACATCATGTATTCACCGTAACAAGTAAAAAAAGTGTTGAAATAAATCTCCTCTTAGGAATCCTGTCTCGCTTTAAGTGACTGATGTTTTGTTGTCAGTATGCGAATATAAATTCATTCAGAACTGTACTATTCGGTCCATAGAACTTTAACAGCTTTGTTTAAATACTACTTTCGTTTAGTTTGTCCACTTCATTTAGAGACTGAAATGTATATTGCTTTCTGCGGACATAAAGTTTTCACGTTTGAAGTTGTTCCAAACTGGAGCTCATTGCAGTTAAAAATATTTTCTCAGCTAGTTCAGTATCTTATCCAACAAAATCTATTCATTTTGCACTAAAATCATTTGCATCAAAGTATCAGACTATAAAATGTGGATTGAGCGGATATCGGGACGTGCCGACGCATACTAATTCAGCAGTGATACCTATAATTTATTTGAGCTTCCAAAATACAGTGGTATGTTTTTTCAACCTCGATTCAAATATGCGCACATCATCTAATTCATCAATGCAAGCTTTTGTAAAATTCAGTCATATGCCCCTGATTCTTTTCTGGCAATTTGTGTAAATTCCGCAACCCCCCAAAAATGCATTCTGACACATTCAATAACAATTCCAATGAGATAGTTTGACCAGTGCGCTTTGATCATCGGTTACGGCTCCAATCCAAAACTTGTCAAGCAAAACTACCATTTGACTGGACAAGAAACACTTTGTATATTTGCTATTTTTCCATTTGTAAATAAACAGAAGGAAAAGTTTTTGTTTCTTATTATTAGCGCTACATCCCGAAATGTTTCAACTGATCAGTGATATGCACAGACGTGGCTACAATCTTAATGAAGCATGAATTCGAAAGAAATTTCGTTGGTTTGCAGTGATATCCTACACCCATTTCATTTAGTTCCGGCTTGACGCCTTTTACATGTTATCGTCAACTGTGAACAAATTTGATGAGAGACATTCTTCACTGGTTGCTGTTCTACCTTGATTTAAAATAGTATTATTTCATTTATAAATACTCAAAATATGTTGTAATCTGTTACAAGTACCACATCCAGTGTCTGAAAAGTAATCTAATAACTTGTAATAAATGTTGAATCAAATTTTATCTCGATAGTTGTGAACCGGAACTAAATCATGACGAACCACTTCAATGAGTCATTAGCAGGTCTGGGACATGTATTGATTCGCCAGAGGTTATTAAAATTTATAACTCAATGTCAGGTTATGTTTTCCGGAGGAATGCACTTCACGAATGAAATAATATTCATCATATGACAGTTACCAGATTATAACGGAATCGAAAAAACGGTGAGCTGTATATTCATTCCGATTTAACTCCACATCACAAAACGTCATGTTTATTATGCAACTGTCGCACGTTTATTGTTATTTAATGACTCCGGAAATTCCGTCCACAAGTAAACTGATTTTCCCCGGTGATACTATGTGTACCTAAACTGAATGTTTTAATGACGAACATCATGCGTTGTGTGTTCTCCATATAATAAAACCTTGTTCTTCTTATGTAGTGCGTACTTTGATATAAATCTAATATAAACCGTAAATACCACCAAGTAACTTACAATTTTGCAGTTGAATGTGTGATGAATAAAATTAATAAAAACCACGGGAACTCTGCTTCAACTAATCCGTAATAGACGGTTCCAATGAATGTATTTCTTACCCGATTGTCTGTGGAAAACGGTTTAATGCGATTATGAAACGTCCACCTCTCATGCGTATTAGATCGTCTTCACAAATTCAGTACGGATCAATATCCAACTGATAACAAATGATAACATTTTAAACAATGTGTAATATCCAAACAGTTGAGTTCAGTTTCCGAGGCAAGAACTAGCTTGAACTAGTGTGACGTTCAGGGCCAAAACTGCGTGCGGTGGAGGTGGTTTTATCTGACCGAATCAGCCAATGATCACGCAGCGCTATCTCCTCAGCCTGTCCAATCCCGGAAATGCATTAGCTGGCTGAATGCAAACACGTGTGACCCCGGGGTCGTTGTGTCCAAACAAACGTGGTACGCCGAAAGAAAAATAATGTGACGACAAAATTTTGGAATAAGTTCCGTTTGCGAATAACAGTTCATTGGTGTGGATGTTTGCCTACGGAGATCGAGTGCGCAAATATTGTTTTAAATAGTCACTGAACCCTTAGAAACGAATTTATATTTTTCAGAAAACAATTTAAAAAGCAGTCAGTGGGTGGCGTAAAGGCCAGTTTGGTGGTTTTCTTATAGAAAACAT